GCCAGACGGGTCGGCAGCACTAGATGCATGGGGGAGGGCTCCGGTTAACGCAAGTGCTGGGCTCCTGCAGGGACCCCGACAACTGTCAGCCGCAACTCGGGGCCTCCTCCGCTTCCTCAGCAGCACTAGATGCATGGGGGAGGGCTCCGGTTAACGCAAGTGCTGGGCTCCTGCAGGGACCCCGACAACTGTCAGCCGCAACTCGGGGCCTCCTCCGCTTCCTCAGCGATGCTTTTCCACAGCCTGTCCGGCTCGGAGATGCACGGGGTCATCGATGAGATGGACCGCAGAGCCAAGAGAGAAGCACCAGCCATCAGCTCGGCTATAGACAGGGGAGAGACCGAAACGGTAGGAGGCGAGAGAGCGGGCGAGATACCCCCTCACTCCCCTAAAAATACCCGCCCCAGAACGGTAGCGGCGCTTCCCCTTAACAATAATAAACGGGGGACCCTACGCCGAAATAATAAATAACTCAGAAGACGTAATAAGGACACGAAAATAAGTATAAGTGCACCCAAGGCAGTGAAATAAAATCGAAGGGCTTTGCATGAATTTGATAATGTTAATAATTAATAATTGTAACGGACGGATGACCTGAAAGGCACTGCCCTTGCAAGGACAGGAAAAAAGCAGCAGCAGTCTTTTGGAAGAGCCCACGAATTCCTCTTTCTTCCCTTCCCACAGCTTGTCTGGCCTTCTAAAGTTTTTGGGAAGAACGCGACATGCTCTGTTATGTACTTAACATTTTGGTGTAGCCAGATTTAGGGAGAAGAGAAAGCATCCTGTCTGCAAAATGAAAAGCACAGCCACCAAAGAATCTCTCTCTTTCTCGGTTTTGTTTTGTTTCCCCCCCCGATGGGATGAATACACTAAGGCACTACACAGCTAGTTGTGAAGTTATAATCCATTTTCTACTGCTAATAACGAATAATAACAAATATAATCTGTCCTGGCTACATTACAACAAAAATATAAGTCGAATTTCGATGGTTATAAAGGAAGACACAAACCTACCTTTCTAAAATATTTTTCTAGGGTTCATTTTGTATCTGACGAGTTTTAATATATATTCTTACATGTATGCAATAAAATAGATACTTCTGAATAAAATAATGTATTCCTTCTAAATTACTTAGACTAATTTAAAATCAAGCCGAAGAGATTTTCCATGTGTATTTATTCCTTCATAATTTGTATGTAGCCCACATTTTATTAAATGGGAATGATAACTCTTGGTAGGCAAAGAGATCCGCATTTAGGTCAAATATTCCTTTTCCCGGAGAGCTGATATAGCCATGTGCACCAAAAAAAAAAAAAAAAAAAAAACCCTTCAGTGTGCGTTTTTTAGTTTCTCCATATTACACTATTTTTGTCAGTATTGTGTAGAAAATACCTACCAAGCAGTATGTTTAAAGTTGAAATAACGGTTATAAAGAAAGCCTTCGTATCTTTAAGATTTTAACCTGGTTTATGCTCCAATATTTGTGTATTCTTTTGAGAAGTTTGGTTTCTTTTTTCCCCGCTGGTAAACAGTGTTTGAATTAGACAAATGATCTCTCTTGGCATAATTGTTATGACATTTATATATGTAAGCCACCGTGTGTGTGTATATATATGTATATAAAATAAACGGTGGCTTAGACTATGAACTTCTTAAGCACTATTACTAGATCCCCAGATATTCATGTCACTGGACGGATAAAGCACAAAAATAGTGTTTTATTTAAACGGGCTTTACAGGAAGCTGCTTTTGCCTATAAAACGATCACTAATCAGGATTCAGTTAACTCTTTAAAGACAAACGATCAATGGAGCTGTTAGGACAGCGTACGCATACATTGATATATTTTCATTTAAATATACACTTTAATAACGGATTCATTGAAATATAGGCATTTGGGCTATTCGCAAATTATTTCTATGACTTGTACTTAAGTTCTAGTATATTTTGAGACATTCCCTTCACTATATCTATATTCTCGCGTTCCTTTTAGCTGTTTTCTTTCTTTTTGCATTGCGCACCAGTTTAAGGTGCTGGAGAGGGTAAAAGTTGTATCCGTCAGATCTGTTCTTTCCACAATAAGTAAATATATAAGGGGTTTAGGTGCCATGTTAATAGCAAACGAAGGGGGAAATGTAGAAAAAGCCAGTTCCAAGGTCTGCAATAAATAGTGCTTTGCATTTGAATCTTTCCACTTGAATATTATTTTAGTAGCCAGGATAAAAGATATACAGATGTTTACATTTTGGGTTAAGTGGTTTCCACCATTATTTTCTCTCTCGTTAGTGGAAGTTGAGTAGATTTTTTAAAAAGGAAGTTTCGATTGAGTTGTGATCTGACACTAAACTATTAAATTATATAGGGGTTACATTTAGTTTATTGCTTTCAACTTTATCCTGGTATAACCCAAAGTGTTCTGATGCGGGTTTTTCTGCTCTTTTCTTGATTGCACATGTCAGACTATGTAGTATTCTTGCTAAAATATTCTGCGCGTTGAACTTAGTAATGTGCATATCCTCTTCAGTATTATTGACTCATCTGCTTAGTTCTTTGGGCTGGGATACCTTTTCTGTGGAATCAATTTGCAGAGAGCTTTCTCTGACTCTGTAACGGCCAGGATCTGTAATTCACCCGGATTTTAATACACATACACACAAGCGCGCGCATATACAGCCTTTCCTATACAGCCACTCTTCGTGGCTCCACTGTACGGGTATATAGATACAGATATCTCAGATGAACTGTCTGCGATATGCCCGAGGATTGTTTGTTTGCCCAGCAGCGTCTTTTCTGTTCGCTCTGGGACTGGCCGATCCAGGTCACATATACCATTTCTTGGATTTAACCCGGATGGCCTTCCCCTTCACCCTGTAATATGTCCTTCTGGCATCCTATCCCCTCTGCCAACAAGCACGGCCCTTCGCGTGGGACAGGGGCAGATATTTTAGGCCTTGGAAATCTAAAGGAAACCCCACTTTTCCCCGGGCAGGAGCAGGTCAGGATGGCAGGGGCTGGACTCCTCGGAGTTCCCTTTTCTCTGGTCTCTCTCCTGAGCCCCCAGGAGTGGGAGAGGAGAAGCCCAGCCCCGATGGCAACTGGGCTTGGGGGCGGAGGGGGAGGGGTGGTTTGTGGTGCAGGAGGGTTTCTCCCTCTGTCTCCAACTGTCTGCAATTGTTTCCCCCCAGCAGACCATGCCTTCCATCAGCAGTGACCGGGCTGCCCTGTGCGCCGGCTGCGGGGGAAAGATCTCCGACCGCTATTACCTCCTGGCAGTGGATAAGCAGTGGCACATGCGCTGCCTGAAGTGCTGTGAATGTAAACTCAACCTGGAGTCCGAGCTCACCTGCTTCAGCAAGGACGGCAGCATCTACTGCAAGGAGGATTACTACAGGTAAGGACCGACCTCCCCCAGTGCAGTGTGGTACCCCCCCCCCCCGCGAACTGCATCAGGGGGGCACCGAGCAGACCCTCCCTGCGGAACAGGGTCTGTGCTCCCTAGGCGTCTCCCTCGGGGCGGGGGCGGATAATGAGGTAGGCAGGAGAGAGAATGGGCCAATACCTGGGCACGAACCCCACTCAGCCCAGCTGATCTCCAGGCTGGCTCGGAGCACGTGCCCCCTCCCTCGGTTCCCTGCACCGCAAGCGAAGCCAGGGGCCAGATACAACGTGGCGTTCCCCTTGGCCGGGGCAATTAGTATTGGAACAACAGTGATCAGGGCGACTCATTAACGCCCATCCAGTGGCCCTCTAGATGAATACCTGGGCACGAACCCCACTCAGCCCAGCTGATCTCCAGGCTGGCTCGGAGCACGTGCCCCCTCCCTCGGTTCCCTGCACCGCAAGCGAAGCCAGGGGCCAGATACAACGTGGCGTTCCCCTTGGCCGGGGCAATTAGTATTGGAACAACAGTGATCAGGGCGACTCATTAACGCCCATCCAGTGGCCCTCTAGATGCGCCCAGGCACCGCCCTGGGCGAGCTGCACGACAGAGCCCAAGGCGCAGAGAGCCTGCCTTGGAGAAGGGGTCCAAGGACAGGCTGGATGGAGCGGTAGGCTCCGGGGATCGCTTCGCCCCGTTCTCACGCGAGGGCGGGACGTGCTATGGGCGAGGGTGTTTGTCTCCATCCAACACGCCGGGCTGAAAGGAGGAGGCCGGGCGAGTGGCGCTGGCAATGCCGAACTTCGCCCGGGCCCCCAGGCGGAAAGTCAGGCCTGCTCCCTGCCGGGGCTGCCGAGCGGAGCGGCAGAAAAGCGCCCGGGGTCCCCTGGCCCTGAGAGGCGCTCTCCTGGCACGTTTGTTTGCAGAAGTGAGGCGGCGGGGCAGGGGCAGGGCCAGGCCGGATGGGAAGCCCAAACGGCTGCTCTGCGAGCGAGTCCTGCGGCAGGGACCTGGCAGACGGGGCTCCCCTCGGGCTGGGTCTCCGGCCCTCGAGGGCTCCGAGCGCTGGGAGTTTAGGGCACAGGAAGACAAAGGCCACTTTGCAAACTTCACTGCCTTGTCTCCCGCCCCTGGCTCGCCCCCGGGCCGCGGTCTGGCGCCCAGCCTGGCCTGCAGAAAGGCTTCTGGCCAGAGGAGCAGCACCGAGTGCGGCTCTCATGTGTGTCCTCTCGCGGTTCTGTTTTGCAGGCGGTTCTCGGTGCAGAGATGTGCGAGGTGTCACCTGGGGATCTCCGCCTCCGAAATGGTCATGAGGGCCAGGGATTTGGTATATCACTTGAACTGCTTTACTTGCACCACTTGCAGCAAGATGCTGACCACCGGCGACCACTTTGGCATGAAGGACAATCTGGTGTACTGCCGCCTCCACTTCGAGACTCTCATCCAGGGGGAGTACCAGGTGCATTTCAATCACTCGGATGTAGCGGCTGGGAAGGGCCCAGCACTGGCAGCGGGCTCTGCCAATACTTTGGGACTGCCTTATTACAACGGCGTGGGGACTGTCCAGAAGGGGAGACCCAGAAAAAGGAAGAGCCCAGGGCCTGGGGCAGATCTGGCAGCTTACAATGCAGGTAAGAGACCCCTCCCCGCGCAGAGCAACGCCGCTGGTTTGTTTCTGTTCCCCTTCAAGGGAGGCTTCTCTTGATTTTAGCTTAAACTGTTAATAATAGTTTAGCTGCAGCATAATTGTTGAGATCAAGTACTGTCAAGCTGCAATTACAGAAGCTGATATGTTCGCATTTTTCACTTCAGTTGGAAATAAAACGTTTTGAAGCAAGGTCATCTGGTTAAGGAGTGGGGGGGAGAGAGGGGGAACGAGTGTAGTTTGAAATAAAATCTGGAAACCAGAGATTGTAAATTAGCACTTCAGAGAGCTGTGAATTTCCTTTAGTAGTTAGTTCTTAAGGGCTGCTGTTGGGTGAATTGGTTTGCCACTCCTGAGTTCTTGCACCAAAGACTTTGGTATAGAGGAGGTAAAAAACGCAACGCAACGCAACGCCCTGGTTTCAGTGGGAACTCCGCTGGAAGAAGGATGGGGTTGTGCTGGAACTCCTGGCGCGGGGGTGCAGAGTTCTTATGGATTTGCCCAGTGCAGTCTTGTGAGCTGAGGAGTTGTCTTTAGAAAGCAGGCATCTGCAGGCAAGCCCTGGACTGCTTGCCCGGTACCAGTTTTCCTGGAGTTTGGTTCATCAACTGTGAATTATAGAAGGCTCAGAGAACTAAAAAACCGCTATTCTGTGCACTAGCCTCAAGTGACAACCCCTCCCCCCTCCCAATTTCAGAGCAGCAGCAAAGAAAGGAGTCTGCAGGGACAGAGCTGGGTTCCGGGACAAGCTTGTGCCTTTGCAGAAACCTATGGCTCTCCAGTTCCCTACATTTCAATAGCTAATATCCCAGCTTGTTTCCCTTCCTCTCAGCGTTGTGATTTTACAGGCACAGGAATTCCTATTGGCTGCTCATCCCATGAAAGAACATTTTTTCTGTCCTTTACTCTTCCTATAACGTATGATTTGTAAGCTGCATGTAACAAAATGTGTGAATGGTTGTATCTTACTGGTTTCCTGGCTCAGGGTGAGATAGAAAAGGATATGTGCAGAGGGAAAGATTTGGATCTCAGTTCTATTAGAAGTAACAGTAAATGTGCTGGGAACGAGGTTTTCTCTTGACACAAATCTCTGGAAACTCTGAGACCAAGTGTCCGGCAAACATTTGTGACAGAAGGAGACACTTAAAGAAAAATCAGCATTTGCCTGATTTTTTTAGCAATGCTGCCCCCTTTTCACAGCTCTTCGAGTCCTTCAACCATGGCAGACTGGAATTCTGTCTACTATGACGTTCATGCATGGGGGGGGGAGGGAGATTCAGTTTTGCCTTGAACTTTTTTGGAAGGATGGGGGGGCCTCAGGCAAACTTACAATTTGCTGCTGTTTGGTGCAAACTCTTTGTCTCTCGTAAATCTCTGAAATGTGCTGCTCTGGACAGCGCTTTACTTTCTACCACTCAATATTAGAAAAAAGAGAAAACTACATTAAGGAAAACTGCAGCGCAATGTATGTCTTTGTGAAAATCTCCTCATCTGCTAATGATTTCCCAGCCCTGTAGATTGTGCGCTCTTTGCAAATCAGTGCGGGGGGAGGGGGAGATGCGGCTAAGACTGCGCCTCTTTTGCGCGCAACTTGGATGGGAACAATGGGGATGGATGCGCAAACATTACTCATTTGGTCTAAAAATAACGAGAAAAGGCGCAACTTTAACCGGAAAACAGGTTTCAGAAGCCATTTACCACCTGGAATTTGTTTAAGTGATTGCTATATAATTTGGAAAATGTACACAAGTCAATGGGAGTGCCACTGGAAAGGTTTGAGGAGGAAAAACTCCTTTTCTGCTTTGAAAGGTGTTTGTGGCGTTTTCCTTAGATTCGCTCCAAGTTTTAAAATATATAGAAAACAGGAGTTTCAAGTTTACAATTGTACTCGTTTAGGAGGTATTAGCCTAAATTGCCCTTCCCTGTCTCCCTATGCAGGGGAAATGTTCAGGTTCACAGGACCAATAAACCGAACCATCAGCATCTGTCCTGGATAGGTGCGCAGCCCGAGAAAGCTTTATAGCTCCCTGGCTTCTTAAACTCACCACGTTTATTTGCCATTATTTTTTATTCCTTTTCAAAAGAATTACTCCCCCGTTTTTATTTTATTTTTTATTTCGGCATTGATTGTGAAACTGTAGGTTAAACAACCTTCCTCGCTTCAATTCCTTTTAAAGATTAAAACAAAATCTCTTAACTGAAGTGAGTATAAAAGAAGTAGATTCTGGAAATCGACCCATTTTGTCGTTTGATTTAAAACAAAACAGTAACGGATTGCAAAGTGCACGACTTTTTAAGTTTTAAAAGAAAACAGTTTTAGTGTGTGTGTGTGTGTGCCTGTGCGTGTGCGTGTAACTGTTCTCCACTCTGAAGGGATGCCCAAGAATGAACAGTATTTGCCAGTTGGGGTTTGTGTCTAATATACCATATTCTTTTAAAAATAAAACCACACGCATTAATTTGTGAAGGCGAGGGGTGAGACATGTAAAATCTGACCGCAGTTTAGAAATAAATTATTTAGTAAACTTCAATTGTTTCATCTCGAGCATAAATTGGATTGACTCTTTTTTCCCTCTTAAACCAGACCCAGTTTGCAGTGGGGTGGAATGGTTGACGGATTTTAGATGAGGATAGAGCCTGACAAGTGGAAAATAGCTTAGAAGGAAGCCGGAACTTCAAAAAGCTTTTTCTTTCTTTCTTTCTTTCTTTTTTTCTTTTTTTTTCTTTTTTTTTTTTTGTAAGAGTTGCTCCTATGATCATAATTTTTTCTTTCACTTGTTGGAATAGAGTTTGATGGGAGGGTTTTTTTTAGGTCAGTAAATCAATGGCTGAAAGCTTGCTGAACACAGAAGCACCTGTAAAGAATTCTGAATAAAATACTCCCTTTGTGAATTGGACCCCGAACCTCCCACAGCCTGGAATATTTTACTCATTCATATCTAGTCTCCCTTTAATCTGAAGACACGAAAATATCCCTAGAAATGATAGATGTACCCTGCATGCCAAGAACCCCACAAACTGATAAAATGCACATAATCTTCGCGAAGAGCAAAGACTCACATTAAGAAATATTTTCTTCCATTACTAGCCGGAGGATATAAACTCTGTCAATAGGAAGGCGGTTAAATACATAGTGCGGACATAAATCTCGGGCTGGGGAAACAATGGGAGAGGACAGCTATTCCTGAGAAAGGTGTGCACTTGTGCACGTTTTTTTAAATTCTTTCTGTTTGTTTTGTTGGTACTGTAAAGCGGAAAGTCTCTGAGCTAGGTTAAAGCGGTGACTCTTACCCCCTGGATTCGCTTTGGTTGGCCTTCCGCAGCGCTAGAGATCGTTCATTTCCCTTCGCGATCGAATTCTTTATTTTTAAAGAATAAATCTAGAGATCGCGATGTGTTTTGATGAATCCAGAGAGCAACGAAAGAGCCTCCCTGCCCCCTACCCAACCTCAATCCCCAGCAAGGCTCGGGGGAGCTGGGAATGTCTCTAGCACTGGCTCTCTTCGGGATCAGCCAAAAGTTCCTCTGGAACTGCAAATCAACAAATACAGTGAAAAGCACGTAAAGTTTTTGGAGAACTTGTTTTCTCTCTTTTATTTTCATTTCTCCCCTGGCCTTTCTTACCTCTGCACAAAAATCAAACCACAAATGACGAATTAAAGGGAGATTTCTCCTTGCCAACGAATTACAAAGCCAGGCAAACTGGAGATTCTCAAGCGAGAATATTTTCCAGCAGGTGAGTGAGAAAAATCACACTCGCCTCCCCGGCCGCGGGGCTTCCTGATTTCAGGCTTGTCTGGGGATGTTTTCAAGTATTTTGTCTAGTGTGTTTATGCAGAAGAAAGTTTGTCAGCTAACCGCAAGTACAACTTCGGGGAGCCCGCTTTGCTGGGGCTGGCGACTGGGACACGCTCCCGGGAGCGGGCCCTCCAAAGAAAATTGCATCTACGGACAAGCACTCTCTCCGGGGACCTCAAAGGAACGGGGGCCCTACAGTACTGGGGACCGGCTGCGCGCCCCCCGAAGCGCAAGGAAGCGTCTTGCGCGCCCGGCTGCTGTTGAATTGCGCCTGATTCCAGGGAGGCCTCTCGGGACAGGAGCGGGACCAAACCAGACGTAGCCCCAGCTCAGC